GTTTATTTCTATTTAAATCACTCAGTTTGCTTTATACTAGTTTTTCTAAGGAATCAATATTTCCTTGCTCTAGACACATGTTGAGAGTGGTCCAGTTTCAAGCTTCTCACACAAGGATGTAAGTGGTGACAAACAGCTTTTATTATTTGTCAACAGCCTGAAGAGAGACTCATAATAATGAGAAGAAGCATAATTTTCCCTAACTTGCATCACCTTAAAGCTCTATACTTCTGTGTGGCCAACATAAGGAAATGTAGGAAGGGTGCTATCCTAGCTCTTGTTGTAGAAGTTAACTGCAAGGGAAAAGCATCCTTAGATAGGTACTTCTCTATATTTATTTGCCGAGAAGGTTCCCATAGCTCTTATTAGATTTGAATAAATCAGGATAATTTAATAGGTTTTAGAGTTGAATAAATCAGGATAGTTAATAGAAGTGATCCACAAAAGCTTGCATAGGTCACATTTTGTTACATGTTTCACAGCAGCAGTGAGCATGAAAAAACTGATGCATAGACTGTCACCTGCTACGAAATAAAAGCCACACTTACACAAAAGTCACTCTTCAAAGCAAACCTATGCAGCAGGTATGATTATTCTCATTTTACAAAGAAGACTTTAAGACAGTCACTTTCTTCAAAGTTTCACATGTGTAAATGGCAAATCCCAAGGCGAATCTGGTTGAGTCGGTCATCATTGAGCCACCCATTGAGGTGACAAGGTGGCTCACTTCTTCCTGCGTCTTCCATGCAGTTTGTCTACCCACTTATATGACTTACTTCCTAATGCCTAGCCTAGGTCATCTTTAGTACTTCTTCTTCAGGAGACTGTGACTTGCAGGCTTCATGAATGGGAAAATGAAGCTCTTGGGTTAAATCATAGTTGAATGAACCTGGAAGATTATCCAAGTTGTGGGTATCTACATACAGGCTGGGGGAGAACATGACATTATAAACTCCTCTAGTCTCATTCAAAAGCTTCCCAGCCACAGCGATGTACTCTTTTCAGAACAGCCTTCTCCAAGCAATCATCCTTCTCTCTGTGGTAACTATATTTTTATTCTAGTTTCCACCAGAACTGTCTGCACTAGAGAGCCGACTTCCCTTTAGAGAAACATGGCTGCCAGGGGTAGAATGGGCTTGAAGGGTTGATTCTGATCATCTTTGGTCTTGGTCAGTTTCCAAATCAAGACAGTTTGCCTACAAGTGAATGGTTTTACATGTAGTAAAGTAACATTTAAAAATTTGCATCTTCCAGCAGACCCCACACCCCATCTCCATTAGTTAACAGGCTTTTTCTCTCTTCCTCATTCTTTCCTCACTGCTTCCTCCATTTTATTTCAGTTACCATCAGCAACAAAGCATAAATTCCTTTGGCTTGTGTCTCTCTGCATTAGCCCATGTCTTTTAAGGGCCTTCTACCTGAAATCCTTGCTGTCAGCCTATTCTGAGAGCCTCCATGGAAGTAACACAGTGTATCTTGATTTATTCAAATCTAATCAGCGAGAGTTAATGAATTCCTAGGGGCAGGAGATCAATCATGTTCTATTTATATTTAATTAATTTCATGTTGCCTCACTTGTCTTTTATAACTACTTTAAGGCATTTGAGAGAAAGCATATTTGTGATGCATTCTTATCTTAGAATAACTTCTGATATTTTTCATGGATTTTACTACAGCAAATTCATAAAAATCTTTGTTTCCTCAGTACTTTTAGAACATGTACAATAATAATATTTTTAACCACGAGAAACAGCCTCATCATAGATTTCTTTATTTCCTCTAAGATAGAGTCGATCCTATCATCAGTTCTCATTTTTAGCACTAAATTAAACTCAGTCACTCCAAGTGTTTATTCATCTGTCTGACTTTCTTTATCTTGCTTCACATCACAGTGTCACTGATACACAGAGTAGATGCGCTGATGTGTTGTTTGGTTTGAAATGGTGGAAGACAGAATGATTTAAGAATGGTAGAGGTTAAGATAGGTGAGAGTCTGGTGACACATGGAGATGTATCCTGCAGTGTCATTACATGTAGAATAAAATGAAAGTATGAGATACTGTATCCATCCGGGAGCTGACGGTTTGGTACAGGGTGAAGAAGGGTCATGTTAAGGAAGAAGAACTTGTTTGAGATTTGGATGTGTAGAGAGAAGACTGTGTTGAAAGGGCATAGAGAGCCCTGTATCTTTGAGAAGTTGCTGAAGAATGGGCTGAGGATCTTAGGGGCAGACTCTCAACCTCTCTCTGGCTACTGTGGCACTTTATAATTAATGCTCATTCACAAACTAGAGGCCATATTGGGTGAAAACAGCATTTCTCTATATAGCATCATATAATAACTATTTTTAGGTTTATGCTCATGTTTTCTCTGTAGAAAACGCTCAACCCTGGTGTTATGAAAACAGCCATAGATTCTGTGCTAACTAATATGTGCAAACTTGGGCCTTGGACTGGATTTGGCTAAAGGCACAACTGCTAACCTTAACCCGTATACAGACACGAGAGCAGGATGGGGCTTGAGAGATGACTTAGCAGTCAAGAGTGCTTACTTTTCTTGTAGAGGATTGGCTTTGGGCCCACAGCACCCATGTCAGAAGGCCTTTAAGTCTAATCCTTTAAGTCTAACACCCTCTTCTGGCTTCCTCATGGACAGAGAGAGAGGGGGAGAGAGGGAGAGGGAGAGGGAGGGAGAGAGGGAGAGGGAGGGAGGGAGGGAGAGAAATAGAGATAGAGATAGATAGATAGATTTATTTTTATGGGTGTGGGTTTTGCCTGCATGCATATATATGTACCACATGCATGCAGTGCCCACAGAGCCTATCAGCTTTCCCAGGGACTGAAGTTATAGCTAGTTGTAAGCCACCATGTAGGTGCTGAGAGTCAAACCTGAATCCTCTGGAAGAGCAGTCAGGGCACTTAACCATTGAGCTATCTGTTCAGCTCCAACAGACACATAAATAAAAACAAAATAACTCTTAAAAAACAAATGAAAGAAACGAGAGCCTGCATTTTCTGGTCTTCCATTCACTCTTACATGCTATCATGCCTTGTTCATCAGGTTGGTACAGCATGAAATCGATGCCCTTATTATGCTCAGAATGAACAATGTGTAATTTTGTTCATTCAAATTTCTTAATGGAAAATATCTATCTTTGATTTCCAATGGCTATTAACTATTCACTATTCAAATAAGTAAACTGGATAGCTAAACATTCTGAGTTATAATATGTCTCATTAATAAAATAAGAAAGTTACTGTGACTGAGATTAAACCTTTTCCAAGGAGAAGAGGCAAAATGGCCGATGCTTCAGACATCTGGGTTAGGGGCAGTGGTAGTGGGAGAGACAGAGTAGACTCAAGTGATAAATGAATATTAACATGAGGAGGAAAATAAAATCACTATTGTGGGCCATAATGTTTGCTTTAGCATTGGTTCAGTTTGCCTTAAACTGGCCATAGAAGGATTTATGTAGAGTCTGACTACATCCTTATCAACAGTAGTTTTAAGACTCCATGGCTTTGTTTTATAAGATATGTGAGGAAAATGTTGAAATAATTTGATCATGAGAAAGAGAAATCAATTTGCAAAAGATTTGAGTTGTAATGTCACTCCATTTCTTGGATGCAAAATTCAGACCAGGGAGGCCGCATGAAAATGAAGCTGTAAAGTTATGTATAAAATGGTATTGGTATGGGTGTTACTCCCCCATCTTGGCCAGCCTTATAGTGAAACAGAGCAGAAAGTGGAGTAGAAAAATATGTAATTTGTCTAGGAAAGGAGCTTACATTTATTTAAAAAAGATTGTCCATTAGTGATCCTTTGACAACTGAGTCTGAATTGTTAAACTTTGGACAAAGCAAATGTGGACAAAGTGGCTTTGATTGCTAAGGAGATGGTGCAAATAAGGAGGAAGTGTGTATTTGTAACAGTGATAATCAGAAAGTTTCCTGATGGCAATACTCCACTCATCAAAACCTCTGGCTTTTAAAAACACAAATTCATTTGAAAGGAGAAAGCTTGAACTGAGAATGATGGGATTCCTTGGTAGGAAAGGACTTTACAGGGAAGGGATTTCCCAGGTTCAGTTGTGAAGGCACACAAAAGTTTTTATCCAAGGTTTCGGGAAACACATTGAAATCACAGTAGAACTTGATGTCACTTATGTGGTACTGAATTTGTAGGTATAGAAGGTACTAGAAGGAGGGGGTCATGGATGCTTGTGCCAAGGTTTGAGAAAGCTAGTGAGGCCAAGCAGTGTGTAGCATAGTCAGATTCCCTGCATGGAGCTCCTAAGGAGGCTCTGAGGGAGGTACTAAGAGAGAAACGTAAGTTATGATGGGATGCCAGATGCCAGAACTTTCAATGTTTGGTAAAGAAAGCTGTAGTAGGGCCACAAATAGGCCACAACTGCTGCAGGCAACAGAGTTGGAAGGGCAGGGCTATCCAAGACCACTGGACTCCAGGTGATGACATCATAGGTTCCAACTTCTAGACACAAAGCTTCAGGGTTTGCTGTTTGCCTCACTTCGTTTTTTGCCTTGATTTGACCTGCCCTTTCCTTCATTTTGGAAGGGAGGATGTTTCCTTTGTGCCATTGTGCATTGGAAATATGTGACTGTTTTATTATTTATTTATTTATTTATTATCTATCTATCTATCTATCTATCTATCTATCTATCTATCTATCTATCATGGAGGATCACTGTTGAGATATTTCTTTGTGTTTTAGAAGAGATTGTGGTCTTGGGGATTTTGAACCATGTTGACACTGTTAAGACCCAGGGGGCTTTTGGAGATGGACCAAGCTCACTTTGTATTATGAGCACCACATGAGATTTTAGAGGCCAGGTTTGGGATGTTTTGATTTCAAATGATATGTTATGATGTCTCATTGGTAAGGAGTAGACATGTGTTAGTTACTATTCATTGTCAAATTGACTAGACTTAGAGTTCCCAAGGTGATATCTCTGTGCATGTTTGTGATGTTGTTTCTACAGAAGACTAACTGAAGAGGAAATCTACTCTGCATGTGTGTGGCATCATCCCATGGATTGGATTCTCAGGCTGAATACAAAGGAGAAATTCAGCAGAGTTCTGATATTTTCCTTCCTGTGAGTCTTGTTCTAGTGGGATGTGAATAAGCAGCCAAACACTCTCATAGCCTTGATGTCCCCCGAAACCGTGTTTTCTCCACCATCATTGATATGGGTCACAGCAGTGAGAAAAGTAAGTAACCAAGCCTAAAGCCAACACAAAACTTCTCAAAGCCATAGGTAGGCCTTAAATTGCTGGTTTGAGTTCAGAGACCTTATTCAATATTATTTATGCAAGATTCTTACCTTAATCTTGGATTTGAATATGGCTTTAAACTCTTGGGTTCTATTTCACTGCCTGTTCTCACACTAATTATTAGAAACAGAGACAGAGGTAGAGGGAGGAGAGGGAGGGAGGGAGAGGAAGAGAGAGAGAGAGAGAGAGAGAGAGAGAGAGAGAGAGAGAGAGAG